GGACTATATTACCTTGATGGTGGTGGAAGTATGTCAACAGCTCTTCAGACATATCTTTCTCCTCTCCAATGGCACTATCGATTTGGTCATCCATCATATAAAGTTTTGAAGTCTCTTGTTCCTTCGTTGAGTCATATTTTTGTTTTGGATTGTGAGTTATGTCAGTTGGGGAAACATTATCATGTTCCCTTTAGTCCTAGGGTTGATAGTCGTATGTCGAGTCTTTTTTCTTTAGTTCATTCAGATGTTTAGGGTCCCAATAAAGGAATGTCATACAATGGTTATAGATACATTGTTATTTTTGTTGATGATTATTCAAGGATGACGTGGATTTACCTAATGAAAGAAATGAGTGAATTGTTTATCATTTTCCAAAAATTTTATACTAAAATTCGCAACCAATTTGGTATACACATTAAAATTATTCGTTTCGATGATAGCCGTGAATATTTTTATACACCATTTTAGGAGTATTTGGAACACCATGGCATTATTCATCAGACTTCATGTACCTACACCCCACAACAAAATGAAGTAGCTGAGAGAAAGAATCATCACCTCTTGGAAACTCCTCGATCCCTTATGCACCATATGAATGTACCAAAATCTTTTTGGAGTGATGTTGTGCTTACATCTTGCTTTCTGATTGACCAGATGGCCACACCCATCCTTGATGGTCATTCTCCTTTCACCACTTTGTTTCCTACTTTGTCTCTGTTTCCCCTTTCTCCTCGGGTTTTTGAGTGTGTCTGTTTTGTTCATAATCTCGGACCAGGAATGGACAAGTTAGATGCACGATCCATTAAGTGTATCTTCGTTGGCTATTCCCGGACCTAGAAAGGGTATAAGTGTTATAATCCTAGTTCTCAACATTCCTTTGTGTGCGCTAATGTTACTTTTTTTAGTCCACTTCGTTTTTCTTGGGGTTAGGTGATGTTTCTTCTTCCTCACCACCTCCTCCTCTTCCAGTTCTAATTGCGGATCCCATTTCACTTGTTCTAGCTATGACCAAGTCTTTACCTTCGGTGCCACCTCCTATTGAACGACCACCTATTTTTCAAGTGTGTACACATCGCCAATATGTACTGGCTCCTCCTCTAGCTCCATCATTGTCGATAGATCCGGCAGTTGTTCCCACACCAGCCCCAACCCCAGTTTCTGAACTTGACCTTCCCATTGCCTTGCGGAAAGGTAAACATAGTTGCACCCTTCATCCTATTTCTAATTATATTTCTCTCACTCACCTTTCTGCTTCCCATCACCAGCTTATTTCCTTGTTATCCTCTATTGTTGTTCCTATGGATGTCTAGGAAGCTCTTGCCTCTCTAGGGTGGCGCCATGCAATGGAAGAAGAACTCTCTTCTCTAACTCATAATCATACATAGGACCTCACCACACTTCCTCCTGGTAAGTAGGCTGCCGGTTGTAAGTGGGTATACACTATTAAGTATTTACCTGATGGTAGTATAGAACGTTAAAAGCTAGACTGGTTGCCAAAGGGTACTCCCAAACATATGGTATTGACTACACGGAGACCTTCTCTCCAATTGCTAAGATTGGTTCACTTCATGTTGTGATATCTTTACCTGCTATGTATTATTGGTCTCTCTTTCAGCTTGACATCAAGAATACTTTCTTACATGGTGATCTAATTGAGGAAGTCTATATGGAGCAACCATTGGGGTTTATTGCTCAGGGGAAGGATGATAAGGTGTGCAGACTAAAGAAGGCCATTTATGGACTTAAATAGTCTCCCCGTGCGTGGTTTGGTAGGTTCAGTGAGGTGGTAAAGAAGTTAGGTATGAAACAATGTCAGGTTGATCACTCAGCCTTCAGTCATGACTCTCTGGTTAGAAAGATCCTATTGGTGGTATATGTAGATGATATTGTCATTATCAGGAATGATAGGTCGAAGATCTTTGCGGTTGGTGGGTAAACTAAACTACCTAACCATTGCTCAGCCAGAAATTTCATTTGCAGTTAGTGTGGTAAGTTAGTTCATGCAGAAACCTCGGGTTCCACATTGGGATGCAGTTCTAAGGATTGTAAGGTATTTAAAGGGGGCCCTTGGTCGTGGCCTGATATATAGAAGTGGAGGAAAACTTGAAATAGAGGGATATACTGATGCTGATTGGGTTGGCTTTATATTTGACAAGAGATCCACTATAGGCTATTGTACTTTCTTTGGAGGTTATCTAGTGGCATGGAAAAGTAAGAAACAAACAATTGCGACAAGAAGCAGTGCAGAGGCAGAATATAAAGCTATGGCACATACTACTTGTGAATTAGTGTGGTTGAGAAACCTTTTACAGGAGATGGGATATTCTATTGACACTCCAATGAAGTTATATTGTGACAACCAGGCTGCAGTCCATATCTCTTCTAATTTGATGTTTCATGAGAGAACCAAGCATATAGAAGTTGACTATCATTTTGTGAGAGAGAAGGTGGTGAGTAGAGTGATAGATACTACATATGTTAACATAGGAAACCAATAGGCAGACCTGTTCACCAAAGGGTTGAGTTGGGGGAGAGTGGACTACATATGTAACAACCTGGGACTATATGATATATACTCACCAGCTTGAGGGGGAGTGTTAATGTTGACTGTGTAAGGGCATTTTAGTCATTATATTTATGTTCAAGTTGCTGATGTGTAATGTTCTATTAGTAGTTGTGTCCCTTACTTAAGTAGGGACAAAGGAGTCTTTTTGTTCTTGAATAGAAATATATAAATTAAACCTGGCCGACTAGAAAGATGTATTATTTTCTCTTGTTCGAACCAGAATTCTTCTCCTTCTCTATTTTCTTCTATTCTCCTTCTTCTTCTTCTTCTTCTTCTTCTTCTTCTTCTCATCTTTCTCTTACTTCTCCAGTCCTTATTCTAATAGGATTCAAGAGCATATTAGATTATAATAGTTTCCAACATACCCAATTTTCTATTTCTTCCTTCATTTTGCAAGCATTCTCTTCTCTTTCATTTTTTAACAAATTTATCTTCTCAAGTTTGCATAAAATTGAATGCCACACATCCCTTAGGTCATATATGTAGTGGAAGTTTAAATATTAGCATCACATTGTCTAGTAGCTAGCTTCACAAATTGCATCTAGGATAGCCACCAGCATCCTAGCTTTCATTAATGGTTTTCACTAATAACCTTTTCTCTCACATTTCCTTTAGTTGTGTTTACATTTTTTCAACGAATCTAGTTCAATTTACATTAGAATTCATACATAGCTTTCTTTACATTTTATCCCTTTATATTCATTTTCACCTTCAAATTTGATGTTTCTAATTCAAGCTTTGTTTTTAGTATTTTCTCTTAAATTGTAATTTGTTTTAGCATGTTAATTTAGAAATATTTTATCTCAAAAATTCTGTTTAGGGTAGATTCTCTTGTTTGGTTGTTTATTGTTTGATAAATAGTATTTTTTTTGTTAAATTATCTTTTATTTTTACTTGATGTACAACCCTAAACAAGTAAAAATTCTAATTGAATATCTAGAAAAGTGGAGTCAATTCATATCGGGAATGTGTGCACTGCTCACATCTTCCACAATGTACCTTGGCTCCCAAATTCCAAACCTTGTGGTTACATTGGGTGAGTCACAAAAAAAGCTTTTCTTAGTTAAAACTTGTGGTGACATTAAAGTTAAACAATAGATACACATAATAGTAGACAATTGTTTTATGTTTTAATTTTTTAAATAGTTAATAATTATTTATATTTTATATGTGTTTTTAATAATTTTTGTGCAATACAAAAATAACATTAATTAATTTCAGCTAGGGTTGTTCATCAAATCAATAAAACCAACCAAACTGACCAACCCGACCCAACTTAACCCAAATTGGTCAGTTTTATAGTATTTCCAGTTGGCTTACCAATTTCCCAACCGACCCGACCATATATATATATATATTAATATTTTATATTTTAAATATATTCTTTTAATATAGGAAAGTGGAAAAATTCCCATATTTCTTAGTCTAAAATATTTTATATTGTAAATTTAAAATTTTAATTTATTTTCTAATAAAACCATTGTAATTTTTTTAAATTTAAATTTAATTTCTTAAGTTTAAATCTTTTGAACTGACCAACCCAAACCGATACTTGTGTTTCCACCCTATTGTTGACTTGGTCAGTTGAACTATTCAAACCGTCACTCGACCTTGATTCCATGTTCGATTCTATTGAAATTTCCCTTCGATCAAAAACCATCCAAACTAGATGGTTCAATCATTGACCCGTTCAAGTCGGTCACTAGGTTACAGGTTGCATATTTAATGTATGTACAAACTTTTGGGGGCCATAACTTTGCACTCCAATGTTCAATTGAGGTGATCTTTTTTTTTGGGTAACTTTTCGAGATGTATGCATCCTAAGGTGCATTGGGCACCTTACCCTACTATTTTCATGAAAACCCCCTTTTTTGGCCTTGAATCGCAAATTTTAATACTTTTTATAAATAAAAAAATAAAAACTAAATTAAAAAATATAAATTAAATATAGACTAATACATATATTATATGTAATATATAATTATACATTATTTGTTGATAAAATATGTATTTGCACACATCACGAAAACCCCCTTTTTTGGCCTTGAATCGCAATTTTCAATACTTTTTATAAATAAAAAAATAAAAACTAAATTAAAAAATTTAAATTAAATATAGACTAATATATATATATATATATATATTATATGTAATATATAATTATACATTATTTGTTGATAAAATATGTATTTGCACACATCACAAAATCCCCCTTTTTTTGCCTTGAATCGCAATTTTTAATACTTTTTATAAATAAAAAAATGAAAACTAAATTAAAAACTTGGAAACAGGAGACTATCACAACTACCAACTAGCTACTTAATTATCATGTAGACCATGATCCAAAGTTCTCCTGGCGGTAACTGCTTAATTGAACTCTGTTATGATCTGTGGACAACTTTTCCTGTGAACCGGGTTCATTATACTTTTATGATTTGAATCAAGTAAAATTTCGGCTCATGGAAACTTTTGATAGACAAGTAACATTTTTTTATAGGAACTTAGAGATTTCAAATAAAAAAGAAAAAAGAAACCCTAACCCTTCATGATTCTTTTTCTTTGTTTTCTTCTTTAAGCCTGTAGCTCTTCATGATTCTTATATGAATCAAAATAAACAACTTGTATATATGGGTTTCTTGGTCGACTCATCACCTCGACTCAGTTTCAGATAGTGCTTTTTGCTTCTTGTTCTCCTTGTAGGATCCATAGAAGTAAGAGATGAAGCCCCAAGAGCAGAGAGCTAGTGCCATACCCTTTTCACCTGTGAACTTCTCATGGTATACAATCACTGCTGCGATCTCCGTGAGAGGAAGCAACGTTGCATTGAGGACTCCAGCGAACAGAGACGTGGTGCAGAAGACAACTCCTAGTAAACCCACCACCGCCATCTGCCACACAATCGCAATCGACACCAGCACCATGTAATATTTTACTGCGCCTAATTCGAATGCATTTGCTTCTCTCGGAATCGCCTGCATTAATGAATATGAGGAGGACCCAATTGATTATGAAATCAACTGGCCAAGAATCAAACAAACCCATGAATTATTAGTTGTATGTATATTCTCTGAGCCTTGCAATTGTTTCTTACCTGAAAATCCTTGTTTATGAGCATTCCAATGGTGCAAAATACTGTAGCAAAGAAGTTCACTCCGAACTGAAACTGCAATACCACAGAATAAGTGATGGTCTTGCGAGCTGTAGCATAAGAAACCTCGCAACAGGGTAAGATGAAACCCAGCAACCCAGCTGCGCCGAGAGTCAGGATGAAGCCCAACAAATAGTCTTTGTTACTAACACCAGGAGGACGGTCGCCGCTCTTCGTCAGCCCAAGTAAGACTGCACCCAGTGTCATCAGCACAACCGCGTTTGTGGAGTAAGGAGTGAACTTCTGCTTGGCAATAAGAAAAGCAAAGAAAGCGGTAAAGGCGAGTTGGGTTGAGAGGAGGAGCGATGAAGTGGAGACTGGTAGGAATGACAAGCCAAGGGAGTACATGAAGTTGTTAAGTCCTGCAAGGAGGCCTATTCCAGCACTGAGTAGTAAGAGCTTAGTGGGAGCTAAGAACCTGACGCCAGATGCTCGTTCACGCAAGTACAGAACTGTGAGGGGGCCGAGTAGTGCCGGGACCCCAGCAGTTTCTAGCCAACTGGGTATCCATTTCCGGTTGCCGCCGTGCAAGAAGTAAAGTCTCAGGAGCAAGGGCCCGGCGATGGTGCCCAGAACAGTGCAGACGCAGTTTATTCCGAGGAGCCACCACTTGGCCATATTGGACTTTGTTGATGAATCTCCCTCGGGCATTTTGTTGTAATGGGTTTCCTCGTTTAGCACTCCATTCTCGATGCTCTCTATGTTCCTGCTGGCCATGTCTTCTCCACAGCACTACTCTCTCTCTCTCTCTCTCAAGTGATCATATGGGAGGATTAGTTTTGATTGAGTTGGTGAGGCTTTAATAAGAAAAGAAAGATGGGAGAGAGTAGATTTTGAAAAACAATCCACATGCTTTGACGAACAAAATACATAAATTTCTCAGTAGCTTCAATTATAAGATGGATGCTTTATTAAATGGTTAAAGCTGAAAAGTTGTTTCGTTATTGAAGTTAGAACCTCCATGGTCCATATTCATTGAAATTCAGAGAGGAGAAAATTAAGGATATTATTGGGCTGCTCAGATTCCTCTTCCTCACTCCTCAGGAGCCTAACATGTTTCAAACTTAACGTGGTTTAGCCCACGTGAAGTCCGTCTGAGTTGTGACTGGATGGGTTTGTAGGTTCTACACTTCTACTTTAGTTGTCCTGAATTTTGTTGTCCATTTGTGACGACTGATGACTCAAGCCGCCACCTTTGAGAACTTTTGTAAAGAGGTGACGTGTTAATTTGACTGGCTTCGATTAAATTCAATTAAACAAAAACATGAAAAAGTTCAGTCATGTTTGTCCAAAATGTTGTGGGGACTAAGGGCCTGTTAGCTTGCACTGAATTCTGAACTTTGAATGCGTGCCCGCGGCCCGCTCGATTGTATCATGCCATGCCAGCCCATGGACCTGAAACCTCAGGCCCCGCATGCCTCGTAGTCCATCATAAATATCGGGTCATACGTAGTACGGCACGATTTATACTTCTACCAGTGACATAGAGGCAAAAATGATTTAGCCTATAGTTTGGTTTTTAAAACATTGGCTTGGATCAATTCTAGTAAAGTTGGGCTTGGTATTTCGGGCCCGAGCATAAGCCTAGAGGCCTAAATTCTTATACAGGCTCGACCAACAATGAATCAGGTAGCCCAATCTTTGGAACTGTAGTGTGTGGAAAATGGTCGTGTATGTGAGGGGGGTCCAGGCTGTCTTGTCACTGGTTGCACACTAAATGTGTATGCAAACTTCAAAATTTTAATATGTTTTTATAAATAAAAAATTTAAAATTGAACCAAAAAAATATTTAGGATTGTTAACGTGTCGGGTTTGGTCCAAATGGCTAAATCACTCGAACCATCACCTGGTCAAGATTTTAGGTCCAGTTTGAGTAAAAATTAGGGAGGCAAAAAATCGTTGACTTGATAAAAAACCGTTCAACCTAGACAGTGGGAGCGTTGCCCCGTTCGACCCAATGAACAGGTCATGAGTTGCACACTAAATATGTATGCAAACTTTGGGAGGTCATAACATTGCACTCTCATGCTCGGTTAAGGTGATTTTTTATTTATTTTGGGTAACTAATTTTGCCAAAACCCTTTTTTGGCCTCAAATTGTAATTTTTTATACTTTATAAAAACTTAAAACTAAATTAAAAAACATTTAGGGTTTCCAATGAGTTGGGTTTGGTTGAACCCGACCGGTTGCACTACTTGAACCATCACTTGGTCAAGATTCCATGTCTGGCTTGAGTAAAACCTGGAGGGAGTTAAAATGTTATTAACTTGGTAAAAAAAATGTTTGATCCGAACGGTTGGTCCATTGATCCATTCAACTTGGTGATCGAGTTATATGTTGCACACTAAATGTGTATGCAAACTTCAAGAGGCCATAACTTTGCACTCCAATGTTCGATTGAGGTGATTTTTTTTTTTTAGTTTTGGATAACTTTCTGAGATTTATGCATCCCAAGGAACCATAAGTGCCTTGCCCTTCTATTTTCTCAAAAAAAACTTTTTGTCCTCAAATTGCACTTTTTAATATTTTTTACAAATAAAAAATTTTAGTATAAAATAATACCTATATTACATGTAGAACATAATTATACATTATTTATTGAAAAAATGCATGCTTATGAAAATGGTTCAGCCTCTGGTTTGACCTTTTTGGCCGGCATGACCTAACCCATTCAAGCCAGTCAATCGAACTAGTGGCCTGTAACCCAGAGGCAAAAATGATTTGACCTCTGGTTTGATTTTTAAAACATTGGCTTGGACAAGTTCCAATAAAGCCAGGCTTGGTGTTTTGGGCCCGAGCCTAAGCTTGAAAGACTAAATTCTTATCCAAGCTCGACCAATAGTGCGTTGGGTAGCTCGACGGCTCATTGATAACTCAAGCTCAAAAAAAAGTTGGGCTTGGTGTTTTGGGCATGAGGCCAAGCCTGGAGGCCTGAATTCTTATCCAAGCCCGACAGCTAGTTGATAGCTTAGGCTCGAAAAAAGTTGGGCTTGAGCTTGAAGCCTAAATTCATGCCCAAGCTTGACCAAGAGTAGGTCAGATAGCCCAAAGACCCAATGCAGTCCGTTGGCAACCCTTAATTAATTAATTTAGTAAAATAAGTAAATAAATAAACCTGTTAATGACCCTACATATTAGGCTTAGGAGAGAGAGAGAGAGAATATTAGTAAATAAATTATTATTTAATTTAATAATTTAGTGAATTCAACAAATAAAAATTGATGTGCCGTAATTTACTTAATTTATTAAAATAAATAAATAAAAAGTCATTTATTATTGGGATATGAGAGGTACAAGCTATACCAACTAGACCTATTCATGGTCTCAATAGCCCGGTTCAGCCCGACCCATTAACAATGCTAAATTAATTAATTAATTTGAGATAGCCTTTACCGATCTTGTGTTGATAATACATAAAGTTTTATTTATTTATTTACTTATGTTACTAAATTATTTAGTTAGTTAATAATTTAATAATCTAACAAATTATTATTGCTAGTAAAGTAAGACCTAGAATCGTGTATATATTTATATATATTTACTCATTCACTTGATTGTCTATTTATCTCATTTATTATACTAAATTTATTTATTTATTAAATTGAATTAATTATTATTTAACTATTTTCAATTATTCCACTATATAAAACAAAAATACAATGACAAAAGTCATTTCTCCCTCTTACACTCTATTGCCTAATGGACGTGATTATTTATTTATTTATTTATTATTGTTATTTTTTATTAAATTAAATATATTATTATCCATGAATTTTTATTTATTTTAAGTAGATCTTTTTTCCAATAAACTTTTAATTAAAAAAGTTACCTTTTGCAATTTTTTTTCCTATATATAATAATTTTCTTTGGCAAGCCACTTACTAGGCTCCTCACTAGTTTTTGTGCTTATATAGGTACCCTGTACTTTGGGGGTAATGACACATAGGTACCCTTAACTTTCAATTGCAACACTTGAGTACCCTGTACGTTCTCACACGGACAACAAATAACATATTTTGATGACAATGTTCTCCGGTGATGATTTTATTTCATAGAATGATTTCAAAAATACATGAGAATGATATTTTTGACATTATGTAATGTTTAATTGACGGAATATTAACGGATGGACCCAAGTATCTATTTTTGAAAGTTCAGGATACTCAAGTGTTACAATTGAAAGTTCAAGATAATCAAGTGTTACAATTAAAAGTTAAGGATACCTATCTGTCACTACCCCCAAAGTTCAGGGTACCTATCTGTAATTTACCCTATTTTTTATACAAATATAGAATATTTGTGAATACTTCACTTATATAGTTTAATTAATGCCATAAGCCCAAAGCCCATTCGGCCTACTGGGGCCCGAGACTAGGTTATCACTCTTGTCATGTTGTGTTAAATTTGGCTAGCCTCATGATCGCACCTAAAAAAATAAAATCCTCTAGCTAGCTCCATGTTGTGTCACTTGCTTCAACAAAACACTCATATCCTTCATCTTTTCTCCCCAATTGTCAACAGCCTCCTTGGTCTTAGGTTCCTTTTCCAAATTCGTTACTTAATTTATCACTTAAATTTGATTCCTATAACATTCCAAAGTAAGCCAAGAATCCAAATCCAACCCAACATAAAGGGATTAAAAGTAATAAAACTAATTTTAAAGCTAAAAACTTTGAACAAAATTGCATCTCATACATATAGTGGAAGTTTGCATATTAGCATCATAGTAGCTATTAGCATCCTAGCTTTCATTAATAGTTTTCACAATTAATCTTTTCTCTCACATTTCTTTTAGTTTTGTTTACATTTATTTCAACATAAATAGAATCTAGTTCATTCACATTAGATTTTGTTCGGGTTATGGCTGAGTTGGCCCTGCGAGACATGTGGCCACCCAGCTGTCGCCCTGCCACATCATCCTAGCTCGGCCACGTCAGCCTAGATCGGCCACGTCGGCCTAGATTGGCCACGTCGGCCTAGCTCGGCCACGTCGGCCTCGCTCGGTCGAGCTACTCTACCACGGTGGCCCCCCATCTTATCCTTTCAGCCACATCAACCACACATCATATGGATGAGCACAACTACAGATAAGGAGGAAGAAGGAAGACGACTCCGCTGGGGAATGAGAGTCTATCCCAAATACCTCGGCGGTTAACCTCATCCCGACTTCCCCGGAAGTCCAATCCGATCAGGACACGGATCTTCGGCTATAAAAAGATGCTCCATGCTCAAGGTAAGGGACCCCTAACTTTTGAGACTGACACTACTATTTAGCTCGGACCAGCATCCTTGTAGCTCAGCCCGACCACCTACCACCTCCTACTGACTTGAGCGTCGAAGTGCTTACTCGGGGATAACTCCTCGGGCCTCAGACGTCTGTTTCCTTGATTGCAGGTTTTGAAGCGCGGCCTCGTCCTTGTAGCTTGACCCTGCCCTGCCAACAAGGACTATTTGGTTGCTCTCCTCAGTTCGTGCACCACCTCGGATTGATCAGCATCAGATTGGTGCCGTCTGTGGGATATGCACAAAAATCCCTTCCCAAAAATCTTTCCTTACTGCGCAATCAAGAAAGCGATCAAGATTCCCAAGAACCAGCCCGAGCGTTCAACAGGCCGATCCCCATCTCGGGAGTCTCGCCACCGTAGTCCTTTGCATCAAGAAACTCCACAGCCTCTGGCCATGGTCGATCCTGAGCAGTTCCGAGCAATGCAAGATAAAGTTAATAAGATCTTTGAAATGATGAAGAACTTAGGACCCGCGGCACTGCCTAGCAAGACCATCCCCCCTTATGCACCGACGCGCACGAAGGATGATCCTCGTCTTGAGGACCCCAAAGTGCGCCGAGCAAACAAGGGCATAACGCGGTCCAACCAAGAAAAGCAGGATACAACAAGAAGGTCGGCCCTCCCATCCACTCTCGTAGCAGGACGCACCAAACCACACAGATCCCTGCCAAGGAAAGGCTTGACAAACGAAC